CCTTCGCATTCATCAATATGCTTTAAAAAATCTTCAAGTATAGGTTTAAAACTTGGTTATAAAGATGGCTGAATAGGCACTCGAAGGTGTAATAGCTGTAGGATGTTAGGACTTAAGTTTTATTGTTTTGCATTTTCCATGAGATGATGACTTTAATAAACAGTATCACTGGCGCGATCTTGCCTAAGTGAAAAAAATATATATATACAGTCAACTCTCTCTAAGTGCATGTTCTCTAGGTGCAGATCATATTAAATTCTCTTTAAATGCAGATTTTTTTTTAGTCCCAAGCTATATAAAGTTATAATAAACTTATGTTCTCTAAATGCAGATTCTCTTTAAGTGCAGGATTTTTTTTTTACTTAAGAAATTTTTCTAAGTCCCGGCGAGCTGCATTTGGAGAGAGTCGACTGTATATATATATAATTAGGATCTTGAGTTAAACAAAAATTCAGATAATAATACTATTACAAATGTTAAAAACAAGAATTCTATTTATAAAGATTTGAATTTATCTTCAAATGAATTCTTAATAGCAAAAAATGTTTTAGAAATTTGTAAAAAAAATCATTGTCTTATTTATAACTGACTTTGTTTAAATAAGAATAGTGATAAAGAAAACTATATCAAAATCACATTCATGATGCTTTTAATTTGGGTATCTGAAATTGTAAGAGAAATTTTTTATTGTCGCATGCTTTTTTTATTCATTATATTTGAATCAATTTTTACTGCTTTTATTACAGGATATATTTTCTTCAACTATTATGAATTTGCAAGAAAATAACTATGTAATTTATATATTTTTGATTTTTATATAAAGAATAAAGGGATGGCATCACCAACTGAACTACCTACACATCCAATATTCGCATATAAACATCAGTCAAAAAAAAATGATCTCTAATACCATCTTTAACATCACCTTCAACATTATCTTTATAATTATTACAAGAATCTTTATCATTATTATCATTACAAAGTTCTTTATCTTTAACAATACAAGTATCTTTACCTTTAGTGCCATTATATATTATTCTATCTTTAGCATCACTATAAGCTACATCATTATCAGCACTGTTACAAGCTACTTTGTTATCAGCACCATTACAAATTTCTTTATATTTGGCACCATTACAATCAATATCCCTATTACAATCTAATTTAATATAACAGCCAAATTTTTTTCAACATCCAATGTATCTAGGAAAATTCTATATTCTATCACCAATTTATAGTCTATTTGTATTATATTTTCTGTCACAATTTCATGGAACACCTTTTCAAGCACCTATTCAGCCATCTTTATAACCAAGTTTTAAACCTATACTTGAAGATTTTTTAAAGCATATTGATGAATGCGAAGG